CTCCACCCCCAACTTAGCCCTTTTACTTTTTGCTTTTCCTTCCCTACCACCTCTTTTCACTTTTTCCATTCTAATGCCAATTATAATATTCTCTATATTAATGCTTTCCATTATTCTCTTTTTTTTTCCGACAAATTTGCATCACCAATAACTAACCATACATAAATGGAATTTTATTATTATTATTATTATTATTATTATTATTATTATTATTATTATTATTATTATTATTATTATTATTATTATTATTATTATTATTATTATTATTATTATTATTATTATTATTATTATTATTATTATTATTATTATTATTTACATCACTATTATTATTATTATTATTATTATTATTATTATTATTACTATTATTATTATTATTATTATTATTATTTACATCACTATTATTATTATTATTCTTATTATTATTTACATCATTATTATTATTATTATTTACATTACTATTACTATTATTATTATTATTATTATTATTATTTACATTATTATTATTATTATTATTATTATTATTATTATTATTATTATTATTATTTACATTATTATTATTATTATTATTATTATTTGCATCACTATTATTATTATTCTTATTATTATTTACATTATTATTATTATTTACATCACTATTATTATTATTCTTATTATTATTTACATTATTATTATTATTATTTACATCACTATTATTATTATTATTCTTATTATTATTTACATTATTATTATTATTATTTACATTACTATTATTATTATTATTATTATTATTATTATTATTATTATTATTATTATTATTATTATTATACATCACTATTATTATTATTTACATTATTATTATTATTTACATTATTATTATTATTATTATTATTATTATTATTATTATTATTATTATTATTATTATTATTATTATTATTATTATTATTATTTATATCACTATTATTATTATTCTTATTATTATTTACATTATTATTATTATTTACATTACTATTCTTATTATTCTTATTATTATTTATATTATTATTATTATTATTATTATTATTATTATTATTATTATTATTATTATTATTATTATTATTATTATTATTATTATTATTATTATTATTTACATCACTATTATTATTATTATTATTATTATTATTATTATTATTATTACTATTATTATTATTATTATTATTATTATTTACATCACTATTATTATTATTATTCTTATTATTATTTACATCATTATTATTATTATTATTTACATTACTATTACTATTATTATTATTATTATTATTATTTACATTATTATTATTATTATTATTATTATTATTATTATTATTATTATTATTATTATTATTATTATACATTATTATTATTATTATTATTATTATTTGCATCACTATTATTATTATTCTTATTATTATTTACATTATTATTATTATTTACATCACTATTATTATTATTCTTATTATTATTTACATTATTATTATTATTATTTACATCACTATTATTATTATTATTCTTATTATTATTTACATTATTATTATTATTATTTACATTACTATTATTATTATTATTATTATTATTATTATTATTATTATTATTATTATTATTATTATTATTTACATCACTATTATTATTATTTACATTATTATTATTATTTACATTATTATTATTATTATTATTATTATTATTATTATTATTATTATTATTATTATTATTATTATTATTATTATTATTATTATTTATATCACTATTATTATTATTCTTATTATTATTTACATTATTATTATTATTTACATTACTATTCTTATTATTCTTATTATTATTATATATTATTATTATTATTATTATTATTATTATTATTATTATTATTATTATTATTATTATTATTATTATTATTATTATTATTACTTTTTATTTAGATTACTATTATTAATATTATTATTATTATTATTATTATTATTATTATTATTATTATTATTATTATTATTATTATTTACATTATTATTATTATTATTATTTTATTTACATTACTAATATTATTATTATTCACATTATTATTATTATTATTATTATTATTATTATTATTATTATTTACATTATTATTACTATTATTATTATTATTTATATTACTATTATTATTATTATTATTATTATTATTATTATTTACATTATTATTATTTATATTATTTTATTTTTATAAATATTTTTATTATATATTCGGTCAACAATTTTTCAGATTTAATTACAATTTTATTTTTTTATTTCACATAACTTATTTTATTAATTTATTTATTTAAATTCAAATAATTCTAGAATTCTTTTTACATTTTCATTAAATGTTAATATAATATGTTACTTTTAAATGAAATATCACTTGCCAAACTTGACAAATTATTTTATAATAAAATTTGAAAAATTATACTTACAAAAAATTTAAGTTAAAAAATTAAATATTTTATTAATTTTCATTAAAAAATATAAGAGAGCTAAAATTATTTAAATTTAAAAATAAAAAAAAATTAATGAATCCAATAAAATATGAAGAAAAAAATAGAAATTAAACATTCTTTTTAGATTTACATTTTTAATTCTATCAAATAATTTCAACTTTCTTATATAAAAATCAAACTGCTCTCCTTCTTATTAAATTCAACACTAATTACCAATAAATTAATTAATTATTAATATTTTAAAAATTAATATGTATAACAAAAATCGTATATATAAATTACAATGTCGGTATACAGAAAATATTTAAAAACGAATAAAAGAAAACAAATATATTACTTCTTTTTAATAAACTACACTGTTTCTTGGATATCATTTTTTTCCAATAAAGGATATTATTTGTTTCTTTGAATAAAACATATACAAATGGGTTTTCTTTATTTATGAAATGTTTACTATTTTTGATAAAACGTATGAATAAAAATAGTATAAGAGTGGAATAATGTTTTATGACTATGAAAGAAAATAGATAACATTTTTGACATCTAAACTTTTCTTATTCTCTTGACCAAAAAAAAACTTTTCTTATTCTTTTTTTTATCTATAAACTTTCTTTATTCTATAAAGAGAAAACACCATTTTAAATATATATTTTAATTTTACTATTAAATTTATAATAATATATAAAGATAAAACTCTATTTCAGTGCTGTCTATTATTTTAAAATATATACTTTTTATCTTTGTTTTAAATTTATTTAATAATCATTTATATATTTTTTCATTTATTATTTTTTATCAATATTTATTTTAATATACAACTAATTTAAATAAAATAAAAATTAAAAAAAAATTAATAGGAAAAAATTTAATACAAATTTTCAAGTGATCTATATTTTTCTTTACACATAATTTTCTCCTATTTTTACTATTTAATATATATATATATATATATATATATATATATATATATATATATATATATATATATATATATATATATATATATATATATATATATATATATATATATATATATATATATATATATATATATATATATATATATTAAAAAATATGAATTACATCTATAAAACTGTATATAAATTATTCTTCTTAATATTTTATGAAAAAACAATTGCATAAAAAAATTACTGATAGATACAAAAATGCTCTAAAGCTATTTATTAAAAATAAACTAAAAAAATTATAGCTATAAATAAATCTAGAAAAATTTAAATTATAATTATTTTTATAAAAAAAGATATGAATGCTCTCGCATCCAATAAGAATAGAATATGCAAAAGTTTTTTTATATGACACTTACTAAAGTTTGCATGGATATCAAGATGCCAAGATGATGAGTTATAGTGGAATGATATTATAAACTACTTTACAATGTCGATATTAGAGGTGTTCATGATAGAGTTTTAATTGAATTGAGGCAAAAAAATTATTTAATCTAAAAAAAAAAATCATATTTGTTTAAATTTGTATAAATTTTTAAACATATTAATATGATTTAATTTATACAATTTAAATTTGATATATTTCAAAATATATAAATAAATACAAATATAAAACCAGGACAAAATAATAAATTTAATAAAATATTAAAAAAATAAAATTAGAACGAGTAAATTCAAAATGTGTACTATAGTCTATATACAATAATACCATAATGCAGTGTATACTTCAATCTTTAGTAAAATTATTTTTTATATTTTTTTTGTAATTTTGTAAAAATTATTGTTACTTAAAAAATTAATATATTTTTAAAAATAGTTTAAAATATATATTGTAGTTTGACTCAACTTAAAAATATGTATTAAAATTCAGTGGATAAGAATGCATTTAAAAAAAGGACATTTTAAATAAGTTCAATAAATTAAATTTTATACAATATTTTAAGTTTTTAAATCAATTGAGTCAATAAAAAGTTTTTAAATCAATTTACAATTTTAATATAAGTCAAATTAAATATTAATAATTTTAGTCAAAGCATATTAAACTCTTATTTTAAATATTTTAATAAAATAAGAAATCTAAATGATATGTATATGGAAGGCAATTTACATGTACAATGTGTAGGCCCAATGTTTGAGGACAAAACAATCAAGAGAAAATAAAACACTTTTGAATAAATAAATAAAATAAAAATAAAAAGGCAATCTTTTTAAAAGAAACACTTTATGATTGCAAAAGGAAAGAGAAGAATTAAAGAATACTTTTTTTATCTACCTAAAAGAAAGTAAATGAAAAAAAATAAAAATTACTAGTGTCTTTGATGCCTCACGTTCTTTATGCTTTTTGCAGGGTACCTTTTTTCTTCAGAGGATTTATAGTGCAAGTTTGAACTCTTTCTTTCTACCCTTTTTAAAGTTGTCTTGTTTTCTAACAAATTTTAGATACAAAAATTATATAAAAAACATTTCTTTTTTTTATTTCTTTTTCACACTCACACGTTTGATTTTTCATCTGTTTATGTTCTGTTTTATGTTTGTTCAAGGTCGTTAGCTTAGCTTCAACAAATTGTGTAACTGAAACAACAACATCAAAATTCACATGAACATGTCTGAGACTGAGACAGAGAAGAATCCTGGTATTAAGCTGTTTGGATGGAAGATTCCGTTGCCGGAATGTCGAATTCCGGTTAACTCTCCACCAATGGTACATATATATAATAATATAATCCTTTCATTTTTTCATTATTCATGGTTTTTTAATTTGTTATATATGTTATATATAAAAATTGGTTGGACATAAATTTTGGATTTTTATTTTTGTTTATTTGTTTACGGGGTTGTTGAGACTTTTGGGTATGTTTTAGGTGAAGCTAGTTAGTTATCTGAAATGATTGATGGAATATAATTTTGAATTCATATATGTTCTTATTTATTATGAGAGATCAATGTTCTTGACTTGAATTGATTTTAATTCTGTCTTTCGAATTGATTATGTATCGGTCATGCTGTTACAATTGATTTTTAATTTTTAGTTCATTGTTTAATATGAATATGTATGAATATAGATTATTTTAATTATAATCAATTTTGTCAGTGCGAATTGGATTTTGTTTATTCTTAGGTTATGTTTTCGGTTTTTATTCTTGTTAATTTATAACTGATTGTGGTTTAAATTTTAGGATACTTGCAGCAGTACAAAGAAAACATTAGAGGAAAAAGTTTCTGCGGAAAAAACCGAGCAACGAGATGATTCTTCCAATTCAATGGATAGTAAACAAGAGTCCCGAAGTAATACGCAGGAAAAAGAGCCGATAGTAAACTCGGAGCAAGCCGAAGATAACATGGAGTCGGGTGATACTGATCAAGATAAAATCTTGAAGAAACCAGACAAGATTGTTCAGTGTCCGCGGTGCAGAAGTTGGGACACCAAGTTTTGTTATTTCAACAACTATAATGTAAACCAACCTCGGCATTTCTGTAAGAATTGCCAGAGGTATTGGACTGCGGGCGGAACGATGAGAAATGTTCCTATAGGTGCTGGGAGGCGGAAGAATAAGCATCTCGCCTCTCAGTACAGGCAAGTTATAGTAAACTCAGATGGAATTCCGATATCCAGGCAAGAAACTACGAGCTTATCCGGTCATCAGCGTGCGATGACGGATAATGAGACTGTGTTGAAATTTGGTCCGGATACTCCTCTCTGCGAATCAATGCATTCGATGCTTAATGTTCGAGACCATAATAGAAGGACTGATGCAAATTCTATTAGTAATGTGCTGCATAGAGAGGAACCAACCTTATGCGGATCTTCCGTTGCAAACACGGATACTCATGGGAACAAGCTATCAGAACACAATGCGCCAAATTGGTTGCATTGCTATCCTGTTCCTCCATGGGTATTGCCGATGAATCCTGGTTGGACTAATGCCACTTCCATGGCAGCAGTTCATCCGACTTCGGTATCCATGTGCAACCCTTATAGCGCTGCGCCAACTTCAATGCAATGGTGTCCCGCGCCTATGTTTGCGATTCCTGGAATTAGGCCACAAGACATACCTTTGCAACTTGTATCAGCCTCACACTGGAATGGTCCATCACTCTGCCTCTCGCCGCCTTCCTCCACAAGTAACAGCTGCTCGGGTAATGGCTCGCCAACACTAGGCAAACACACTAGAGATACAGTTTCCGCAGATGAAGACAAATCAGACAAGTGTATTCCGGTTAGAAAAACGACCAAAATTGAAGTCGCAAATGAGGTTCCGAAAAGTCCTAATGGAGAAGGCAAAAACATTGTGTTGGGTGCATCTCAGATTTTGGAAGCCTAATAGAGATGGCAAATACAGTTTGTTGGAAGCAACTCAGAACCTACTTCCCCAACCAGAATGAATTACAAGTAAAAAGTGCTCAAAAAATCAAATATAATGGCATTTGATCTTTGAGAAAGCATAGAATAATTATTTTCTAGCTTCTAAATTTTCATTGATATTTTCCTCTAAATAAACTGGTACATATTGCTGGTTTTTGTTTCTCTTGCAGATGTTTTGTTTTGTGGAATCTATTGTAACATTTTATTTTAAATACTTTCATTTATATTGAGCTATGCTCTCTAAAAATGATGATTTTTGGTTTTTGACACAATAAATGATAATTGGCGGTAAATCATTTCTGCTGCAATAGTTTTTCTTTTAAGCTTAGTATCTGATCTTGCAACCGATTAATTCGAAGAGACCGAATATTGAATTTAAAAAAAATTACTTAGAATTCTTGATGCATAAAAAATAGAAGTGAAATAAAAATATTCCAAACACATTATTTCACTTCAATCTTAATTGTAACCAAATTAATATCCACATCAATTATAATCAAAATTACTTTCACCAAACACTGAGTTGTTGTTATTTTATTTGGATTCTTCTTTAATTGGAATTAAAGGAAAGAGCAACACAAAAAGTGTTGAAAAACAATACTTTACATTTTTTTCTAAAAGTGATTTCCCATGAAAGCATTATCATGTACTGGAAAAAAGTGGTAAGATTAGTAACAAGTCTCTTTTAAGTTGGTTAAGTCATTATCCTTTATCTTTAGGGAAAAACATTACCCTACTTACGTTTTCTTTATTTTTCTCTTGTCTAGAGACATGCAAGTCATAATTAGAAATTCTCTTAAGTGCAGTTCTAACAAGGCAAAGACTCATAGTCTTTTATTCTAAGTGCTTTTACTTTATCACTTTTTTTCTAGCTTTTTGTTGGTGTAATTGATCTTGTTTTGTAAACCAAAGTTTCCATGGGGTTTAAAAGCCTTGTTTTGTGGCTCTACTTTTTATGATATAAAAGAACCTTTTACTAACCAATTAGGTGTATATGTATTTCTTTTTAGTAACGTAAATAATAACTGGTGGAGTGCTTTTTTGACTCATGTCAAAAGAATTGTATAAATGGTTCATTTGATAAAAGGGCCCTTTTACTCATTAAATAAAATAAAATTTAAATCTACATCAATTTTTGTGGGGTTTAAGTGTTAGTTAGTACTTTACAAAGAAATTAAATGTTGAATGTATAAGATATTTATAAATTTTTGCAAGAAAGATGGATCATGAGGTTTTGTAGGGCTTTGAATGTTGCTACTGTGAAGAACAAGTTTTCCATTTCCACAATTAATGAATTATTGGATGAACTCGACGGTGTAACGATTTTTAGTAAATTGGATTTGCGAGCAGGATACCATCAGATTCGAGTGCACCCACGAGATACATACAAAACAGTTTTCAACACCCATTACAACCATTTTGAATTTCTTGTTACGTCTTTTGATTTGGCGAATGCGTCATCTACATTTCAAGCAATTATGAATCAATTGTTCTTCTAATTTCTGTGTCGGTTTGTTATCGTCTTCTTTGATGACATTCTAATTTACAGTGCTTCCTTCGAGGATCATCTACGTCATCTTGAATTGGTTTTAAATTGTTTATTTGCAAACTCTTTTTATGTCAAGCTTCTCTAAATATTTATTCTGCTAGAAGTCTATTGAATATCTCGACCACATTGTATCTTCTCAAGGGGTACACATGGGTCAAAGCAAGTTAGAGGCGGGGTACACATGGGTCAAAGCAAGTTAGAGGCCGTGTTGAAGTGGCCAATTCTAACAATAGTAAAACAGCTTCACAATTTTTTGGGACTCGTTGGGTGTTATAAATGATTTATATTTTGCAACAACTTCGGCAAGAAAACATATCTAGTCAATTTCTTTTGAAGTTCCATCACAAGCTCTCACGGGGTACCATTCCTTATCCTTATTCAATTGTTAATGGAGTTGTCCTTCAAAAGGAAGGTATGTTCTTCGTCCATCATCACTTATTTACAACCACATCATTAGTGAGTTCCATCGACACACTGAGTGGTGGTAATGTCGACGTCAAATGCACTTTGGTCCGACTTGCTGCTAATTATTTTGTCCCAAAATGTGGCAATTCGTGGAAACATTCATAACATAATTCTTGACATGTCAACAAATTAAGCATTTGACACAAGTTCATGTTGGTCTTTTGCAGCCACTTCTGATCCCAGAGGTTGTGTGGGAGGACATTACAACGGATTTCATTATTGGTCTTCCACCATCACTGTTAAATTGTAATTCGATTGTGTCGAAACAATGTGTGTTGAAGTGAGGTTGTCCAGTCGAAGAGTTTGTGGATCGAAGCAAGTTACACACAGATTTGATTGGTTTTAGATTTAGATAAATTTGATTTAGATCTAAAATAGATATATTTGATTTAGTACTAAAATAGGTATTTTGGGCTTTTATAGTTTTGGGTTTTGACTTAGGGAGCAAGCTAACCTAAATCTATAAATAGAGGGAGTAATCCCTAATTTTGTAGTTAAATCAATTCATTGTAATCACAGAATTTGCAGTTGCAAGTGATTAATAAAGTTTTACACTGTTTGTGGACAGAGAGAAACTCTGTAGAAAATAATTGTCTTCTTTCTTTTCTTTTCTTTTCTTTTCTCATAATTCATTGTCATTGTGTGGTGATATCAATCTTGTTCATCAAGATTGGTAGAAATTCATCATAGATATTTGGTGGATTTCCAACATCTGGTATCAAGAGCTCGATTAATTGATTTAATGGAAGTATAGATCAAGAACGATTGAGGAAGAAGAAGAATTCACGATGACGAGTTATGGGAATGCAAATTATCCAGCAGCTCTACCAATTCTGAAAGTAGACAACTATGAGAATTGGTGCAAATAGATGAAAGTTTTATTCAGGTGTCAAGGTCTTTGGGATCTTGTAAAGGATGGATTAGAAGCGCTTGGAGAAAACGCTTCAGAAGAAGAAAAGAAGAAACACACAAAATATGAGAAGCTGAGTTATAAATCACTCTTTATAATTCATCAATGTCTGACTCCAGAAAATTTTGAAAAGTGAGTGATTCAGAATCTGCAAAAGAAGTTTGGGAGGTTCTTGAGAAGTCTTTTGGTGGTGCAGAAAAGGTGAAAGAAGTGAAGTTACAAACTCGCAAGAGAACGTATGAATTGCTTCAGATGGAAGATAGTGAGAGCATATCTGATTTCTTCACTAGGGTTACAAAACTAGTGAATCAAATCAAGGTATGTGGAGAAACATTAACAACAAGAGTTGTTGTTTTGAAGATCTTGAGGTCTTTAGCTCCTAAGTTCGACCACCTGGTGGTGGCTATAGAAAAGGGGAAAGACTTGTCGGAATTGACAAAGGAAGAGCTTCAAGGAACGCTTGAATCTCATAAACAAATAATGATTGAAAGAGCTGCAGGAAAGTCGAAGAGTGATGTGGCTTTGCAGACATATTCAGCAAAAGAAACCAAAGGAAAAGGAAAGTGGTTCGACAGAGGTAGAGGAGGCTACGACAAATCTACTGGTAGAGGAAACCAGAACGAAGGAAACATGTCGAATCAGAGAACACCATACCAAGGCAACCAAAGAGGCGGTGTTGCAAATAGAGGAAGAGGTGGTGGTCGAAAAATTGACAAGAGTCACATTCAATGTTACAATTTTCAGAAGTATGGTCACTATTCGAGAGATTATCTAGAAAATCCAAAGAATCAAGAAAGTGATGCAAAGTTTGCAAAACATGAAAAAGAAGAGATGATGTTGATGGTCACAACAAGAGATGAAGATAGTTTCAAGGACCAATGGTACTTGGATTCAGGATGCTCATCACATATGTCTGAAAGGAAAGACTGGTTTGTCAACATAAAGCCCTCAATGAAAAATATGGTAAAATTCGCAAATGACAATACCCTAGCAGTTGAAGGTATTAGTGATGTTATGATTATGATGAAAGATGACAAGAGGTCAGTAATTTCCAATGCATTGTACACACCAGGCATGAAGAGCAATTTGCTCAGTATAGGGCAATTGGTCGAAAAGAATTATAAAGTGTTGATCAAAGATAAGATGATGAGAGCCACCGACACAAATGGAAGATTAATCTTGAAGGCTCCTATGTCTCAGAATAGAACCTTCAAGGTCGAACTAAATGTGATGGAGCACAAGTTCCTTTTGACTGCAGCTAGCAGAGATGAATGGATATGGAATTATCGACTAGGCCATATCAACTTCAGAGACATCAGAGATTTGAAGAGAAGAAATATGGTTTCAGGATTTCCAGAAATCGACATTCCAAACGAGGTATGTGAGGAATGTGTGCAGGCAAAGCAACACAAGAATAGCTTTAGCAAGGATGCGGGAAGCAGGTCGAAGGTTATTCTTGAAGTCATATACTCTGATGTATGTGGACCAATCCAGGTGGATTCGATGAGAGATAACAAATACTTTATTACATTCATAGATGATTTCAGTCGAAAGCTGTGGACTTACCTGATCAAGAATAAAAGTGAAGTGATTGAGGTATTTGCAAGTTTAAGTCTATGGTCGAAAGACAAAGTGATCAAAAACTCAAAGTTTTGAGAACTGATGGTGGTGGAGAGTATGTGTCGAAAGACTTCGACATGTTATGTGAAAAGGAATGGATTGTGTATGAGGTGGTTCCATCCTATACTCCACAACATAATGGAACTACAGAAAGGAAGAATCGAACCATCATGAATATGGTGAGAAGTATGTTGAAAGGCAAGAATTTACCTAAAGAGTTTTGGGGTGAAGCTGTGTCGACTGCAACATACATTTTTAACAGATGTCCTACGAAGAAGCTAGAAGGAATTACTCCAGAAGAATGTTGGTCTGGTGTGAAGCCTGGCTTGAGTCATCTAAAGGTATTTGGATCTATTGCACATGGACATGTGCCAGATCAGTTGAGAAGAAAACTTGATGACAATTCGAGTCAAAT